TTAATTGCCGATCCTTTTATAATCGGCAGAAAATTTCCAATTTTCAATAAGAAATTTGGGGATAAGTTCAAATATAATTTTTGAGTAAATTTAAAATCTCAGAAGAACACTTATCAAACTGTAACAAGTCACATGTTACTATTATTTGTTTACTCTTTATGGACATAAATTTAATTATTTTTTTATTATAACATTAAATTTATTCGTTATAATCAATTATTACTTATCATTATGTTCAGATATATTCCGGATAGATTATAACAATATTATAATTTTATCTTGTTATCTATTTATTATTATGTATTTTTATTATCTTTCTAAGAGAATAAAAACAACTTGTATTTAAATAATTAAAATTATTGTTAATAAAAAACTGAAATTATTGGACACTAACTCTATTCGGAATTAATAATACTATTATTATTATCTTTATACAGCATAACCCTTGTTTCAATGGATCATAATTAAATTCACGTTTCAACGGATTTTAAAAATCTTTGTTACATGTTGAAACATGATTAGTAATTTCGTTTCAACGGATTATAATTAAATTTGCGTTTCAACAGATTTTAAAAATATTTGTTACACATTGAAACGTGATTAGTAATTTTGTTTCAACGGATTTTAAATGAAAATTTCTTATATGTCCAGCAACTCTGTTGAAACGAGGGTTATACTGTATTTATTTTACATCTAAGGAAGTTATCTTAATTACAATAATACTTTCCGGGAAGTCTATAAGCTCCCATAATATAGATATTGTAATATATATTTGTATTTTAAGAATTGTAATTTTGTTATTTAAAGAATTAGAATACAAACAGAACGAAGATAACTTTTTGTAATTTAACAACAATTATATTGATTAGTGAAAATTATTTGAATATTTACAAAACGCATTTACTTTTAACTTTTGAATAGTAATTCTTACATAAACTCATTTCCCAATGTCAAACCGTTACAATATTTCTGTTACTCTTTTAAATAAAGGAATTTTGGTAGATGAATTACATTATGGTCCATTTTCTCGTTATTGGTGGCATCAGTCTTCTGATAGTGGAGAAGTGTTTCCAATTCGTGTTGGACAAAAAATAACAACTCATTTGAATGGACATGATTTTTATGTTGAAATCATGCGTGGAAATAAAGAAAGCCCCTATCTTCCTGCTTATATCTGTGAAACTGGAAGTCTGTGTAGTGTTAAAGAAATAAATCCTACTAATGCGATTTCTAATATGTATAAACTAGTGTGCAAAAATGTGGCAACTAAATTTTCTGGACCACAAATCATGGGTTGGAATGACAAAGAAATCATTTGTAAACTTTCAATATTTGACTCATTTCATCCTTTTTATATTTCTCTAGGCGAATTAAAAATTTTTATCTATTCAATTGGAAGTTCCTCTCAAAATCATCTAAAAAATGGAGGAACGGGTTACCAATCATCACTTGTTTATAAATATAAACAAAAGAATTCATTATTTGTTTCAACAATAGAAAATGATTCTTGTACCATTGAGATTTATTATAACTGTAAGCTTGTAGATTCCTTCGAAGATATATCTCCAATTGAAGTTTGGAGAAAAACCGGTTATATACAAAAATATGATGGTTATCAGCTCTTTGGTCTAGATAACTCTGTTGTTCAAGATTCGATTAAGAATCACAAAGTTCCAAAATGTATGCCAGATGAATGGGATAATTTTTCGCTCATGAAAAATCTTTATAACTACCATTTGAAAAAAAGGTCTCTTGCCAACATTGAATGGTATAGATTTTTTATTGATTGGTTGGAGAAGGAGAGTACAACAATTGAATTCTTTTCTCAGCTAGAGATGATTTATCCAAAAAATTATGAAATGAAAAAACGAGAATTAAGTGCATGGCAGACAATGTTACGTGCATCAGGTTGTCATAATATCACACCATGGACCCAATATGAATCAAAGGTATGTTAAACATTTATTAATTTGTCTAAAAAATCAAAAAGGCTGATTGTTAATATTGATTATTAGTCTCAATTATGGACAAAATCCACAAATCACGTCACTGAAAAATCAACAATTCACTCTCTTTATAAAATGGGTTTTTTGGTAAGCACACCTGTTCATATGTCAAACAAGACCAATATTTTCTGGTCTTGTTTCAAGCAAGCCTTGAAAGACAACAAAAAAAACCAAGATGGGAAACGGCGTGTATTGTCAATCATTGCAAATGACTTTACCTACCAAGAATTACAAACAAATTTGAATGTAAGTGATTATGAAAAGACAGATAATATTTTTATTGATATAACAAATATCTTAAAAATTAATGTTTCAATTGAATTAAAGGTTGGAGAACATACAATTTCAGAGTCTCGAAAACATGCCAATATGTGTGGTTATGGTGCACCACCCTTATCTAAACCAGTTATAACAAGAAGTAAATTAAATGATGAACAATTGAAACAATTTGATTTATTTTTCAATGACAAAGAAAATGTTAATATGAGTTCATACAAAACAGAGGCTAAAACGGGATTACCTGTGTTATATTTACAAGATTCTAAGAGTTCTCTATGGGAAAAATTTCATGAAAAATATCCAGATGGAATGCAACGTACCGCATTTATGAAAAGACTTCAGGGGAGTAGATACATATTTAAAGAGAATATGGGAGGTCTTTGTTCTATTTGTAATGAATATGGATATCAAATTTTTTCAGAAATTGAAGATGTTATGAAAAAAAACATTGAAAATATTTATCTTCAGGTATTTACATTGAATAAACATAAAATATACTATATATTTATTATTTATGTATGTATTAATATCAGATTTCATATCTTTCAAATATATTTATAATTAGAAAAAATTAATTGAAGATTTGCAATTCTTGAGAAGATATTTACGTAAAGATATTTCAAAGAAGTTTGTCGTTAACCAAGCAGGAGAGGCACTTCATAGTGATTGCATTAGTCATTGTCTCCTTTACGCATTTGGAGAATGTAACCATAAACATTTGGATGTTTGTGATAATTGTAATTTTTTTTTTGAGTTGTTTGATAGTGTTCGGGATAATGTTAATGCAGATCACCAATCAATTATAGATGAATATCAGCAAAAACTAATTTATTTTATGGGACATCATGCCAGGAAAACATACCTAAATGCACAACTGAAAGCAAATCTGGCTAAATTATGTCCCGAAGAAGCTTTGTTTATTGTGGATTATAAGATGAGGATATTGCCTAAAAATGCTCGAGAGACCAAATCAGAATTTTATGGTAAAAGAGGATGGACATTACACTCAGTATTAGTATATAGTAAAGATATAAAAAATGAAAAATTGAAAATTGATGCTTATGATCACTGGTCAGATGATACAAAACAAGATGCCTGGTTTACAGCATCATCTTTGCATGCTGTACTAGAAGTTATGGACATCAAACCAAAAAAAATAACCATAATATCAGACAATGGACCACATTATCACAATACCGAGTTGATGATTATATTATCTAAATGGAAGGAATGGTATGATGTAAACATAAATAAATGGATTTTTCTGGAGGCTGGAGAAGCCAAAACACCAATAGATTCTCATCACGCAACAGTAAATATGATTTTTACCTATTTGTAATTTTTCTTTGTATTACTGTGTACCATTCTAATATTTAATTTTTAGTTGACGCATGCAATGAATCGACATGTAAAATTTGGTTTCGCCATTGAATCTGGTGAAGATATTGAGATAGCCATCAAAAATACAGCTGGTACACATGTAGCTAATTTGGAACCAAATAGAACAAAAGGTAATAAAACTTTATTATTTAGAATTTGACAATCATGAATAATTAAATTACAAATAATTCTTTGAAAGATAAAAAATTAGGTACAATAGCTGGCATCACCAATTGGAACGAATGGATGTGGCCTGATGAAGAAGCTGAGAAAGGTTACATTTTTGCACGACCTCTACCAGGAATTGGTCCTTGGACAAAGTTTTCTCCCCAAAAGATTGGAAATATTCTAAAAAATTATTCCATTGAGAAACCTAATCCAAAAATAAGTCAACACACACAGTCACATAAACCATGGATGGTGCCATTTGTAGAATACGAAGGTATAATGTGTGAATTCATAATATATAATTTGTTTACTTACTGATTGATGCTTTTATAATAGAAAATGATGAAATAACAGTAGAAGAAAATGATGAAAGTAATATTGATATGGTGGTGAGTGAAAATAATTTAAATAAAATTTCTGCATCATTAAATTCTAAATATATATTGTTTTGATCATGTATAGGATTGAATGATAATTGATGGCGAAGAAAATTTGGAGTTAAATCAGTCTAAAAGGTTGATTATTAATAATTGATAATAATAAAGTGTTTTCTTACATTAATTGTGTTGCTCATTTTTAATTCTGCAATAGCAATAAATTATTTGTTTTAGGGTGGGCATTAAAAGAATTTCAAAAAAAACAAAAGCAACCAATTAAAAGAATAAGTCCAAAAGTCAAAAGCTTACTAGAAGTTATGTTTCATACGGGAACAATAAATCCAAACCAAAAAATGACTGCTGAAAATATGCATGAAGAACTTTTGGAACGTGTGCAATATGGTGAACTTGAAGAAGGAGAAATTCCGAAGATTTCAACCATTGCTAACTGGATAACTAGAACCTACATGGGTTGGAAAAAAAAGATGGCGGAAGAGACATTAGATGCTTCTAATTCATAAATTTAATTTTTTGTCCAATAAAAACATATAAAATATTATTGAATTTATTTTAAATAATTTAAATTTCACTATTTTTTGAGTACTAATCTGCTCCTCCTACAAAGTAAAGTCTTCTTCAAGACGGATATTTAAAAATTTTTTTTAATAAATGAATTAAGTGGGATAATCTACATTTTATCATGTGATTAATTAATTGGGTTAATATATTTTTTTGTGAACTTTCCTTGTTCTGCATTTCGTGGTCATTTTAAAAAACATAGTAGATC